CTGAGGGAGATATAAGGTTTAAGAATCCTGACGAATGACTGTCAAGCACCAAAGGCCCCATCCAGCTGTTCTACATCAAACCACAGAGGTCCTATTCCATCGCGTTACTGTCACATTAAACTACAAAAAACACTTGCGTGTCTCTGTGATAAGTGACGACAGCCACCATATGCCCAAAAAACCGAATGTGAAACGTGACGTTCAAATAAACATTCGAAGGATTCGATGTTGACTGAGGGTTTAATTAACGATCTTTTGGGGTTACTGCATTGATAAGAACAGCAGTGATGTCTGAAGTGTGTGTCGGGGGATTACCGATGCCGGTGTTGGCGCTCACCACCAGCATGGCGAAGTCCGGGCAGTAGCTGGTGAGGCCAAAGATGGTGGTCTTCAGATACTTGTGGTGTCCGGCCAGGTCTATGAAAGTGATCATCTTGGACGAGCTTTCGCAGATCTCCTCGGCCGTCCGGGACTCGCTGTAGTTCACAACCTGTGTGCGGCGGGACGGCGTGCGGACAGAGTGGAATTATCACACGGACATGGAAACGCATGCGAGGCACCGTCTGAAACTGGGAAGCCGGGAGGGTGCGAGTAGCCTCTGGCTGCAGTCTGTAGGACACCTCGGTTTGATATTCAACTCCTCCCGCATCCAAGTCAGCCATTTTGATTAGGTCATGTGACTAGCAGCTTTCTGAGGTGGAAACGAAACTTTACTGTCTGTACGAAATCGGAAGACAAACGATGTCCTAACCCTAACCCTAACCCTGACCATGACCCTAACCTTGACCCTAACCCTGACCCTGACCATGACCATAACCTTAACCTTGATCCTAACCCTAACCCTAACCCTAATCCTAACCCTGACCATAACCCTAACCCTGACCCTGACCCTAACCCTCCACCCTTCATAATTGTCAGAAATAAATATGTTTTGGTTAAATTTATTTGGACTTACTGTACAAACCTATTTAACATAAATATTTTAAGCTAATATTATGTATAGAGTTTAATTCAGTGTTTACTATTTTTAAATTAATGTCTATTTTGCCATGAAGCAATTACGATTTTCTTGCCTGGGATCTTCCTATTGGTTACGTAATCAAAATGGCCGACTCGGATGTGGGCGGAGTTGGATATCCATCCTTGGCTTCCTGCAGTCTGCAGCCAGATGGACTCGGAGAGTGCCCGCACCTCGCCTTTGCTGTTGAATCCCAGGATCTCGAAGCTGATGCTGGAGGTGCGGCCGGTCTGGATCTCGTGCAGATGGCGGAACAGGTTGAGCCGCGCACGCCCTCGCCCGTTGTCCAGCTCGCCCTGCGTCAAGACGCCCAGCAGCGTGGACTTCCCCGAGTCCACGTTCCCCAGCACCGCCACCCGCAGGTCCAAAAACTGAGAGAGGAGTCAAACGGGGAAGTTCAGTGCTCCGTTTATTTCCTGTTGGGTCTGTTTAAACGTCTGGAACTGGAACTAAAGCGGACATTTTGTTTGAGCAGCCACAATTGAAACCATCGTTTCGCTGAGGTCAACCGGAAACTGGTGGAAAATAACCGATTTCACAACTTCAGAACATGGAACCGGAACATGGAATCGGGTTTCAGAGGGCTCAGGGTGCTCGTGTGGGGACAAAGTGTCATCTGTTCCCGCCCACCCGGCCGGGGAATCCCTCACCTGCTGGTCATCAGGAACCTTTCGAACGAGCACCTCCGCGATCTTTCTGGTGTTTCTGTCCAGGTCGTAGTCCACCTCCCTCTCTCGAAGAAGAGTGATGTCAGCCCCCACCCTGAAGACAGATCAAGACCAATGCTCCATAATGAAATACCGTCATAAAAGAATATCTTTATGATGAAAAAATACAAAAATAGGAAAAATACTATAGATTTTTTTTTCTTTTTGTTAAAGTTCAGGTTCCAATAACCACATGAAAGCATCATAGTTGCACATAATCCCGAAAGCACATCAGAACTGTGATCAAAACATTTAATTGCCACTCATTACGGGTAAATAAACTGTTTAACCCTTTAAAGCCTGATCCAAGAATAAAACAAAACAGAAAATTACTTCATGAAACATAATAAACTCTTTTTTTTTTTTATGATTTGCTGAATGACTTCCAGATACGTGGTGGACAGATGGGGGACAAATGAAAGCCGCATTGGAATCAATACTGGGTCTGTGAATGGCTACAAAAAGAGGACGCTGGGTTATGGTGGTCTGTGGATTCCTTTCACCGATGGTTGGTTTATCTGTTAATAGACTATTGGAATAAAATCAAGATTGCATTCAATTGGAGTATTTTTTTTCTTCCAAACCTTGTTTCTTATGTAATCCAGATTGATGCTTTATTATATTGAGTTGGTTTAGTGGTGAAGACATTCTGTAGAGACGGGCTAACTTTAATGATTTGTATCAAATGGAAAACTAAATGTTTTACTTGGATTATCTCCAGCATCTCTTCTGTCCATTGTTGTTCATTTGCTCCATGTAGTAAAAACAGCTTCAATGAGATTAACCAACTAAAGACGATAATTTCATGGCAACTCTTTATGATTGAAGAAGCCTTTCAAATTAAAACCAGCCCTAAGAAAAAGCGATGGCACCTACTTCTCCGCCATCCTCTTTAAGGTTTTGAGCGAGGCCCTCATGTCGGCCTCGGTCAGGCCGACCAGCAGGCCGTTGTCCTCCACGCCGATTTGGTAGACGGCTTCCCCCCGGCCCTCCTGCAGACGCCACTTCAGCTGCGTGGCCAAATGCTCGAAGCGATACTGAGTCGGGTTGACCAGCTTCAACTGTGGCATCAAGAGAGGCAAAACATGATGGTTCAGCAGAGGAAAAGGCTAAGATGGAACACCGGAAACTGATATTCTAAATATATAAACACAGCAGTCTCACTAACAGAATTACAGCTATTTTTACTTAAAATCGTAAAAGTCTGTATGAATTAAAGAGGAATGCAACCCTCATTAATTTAACTATTTTCATCATCCTGTGTGTTTGCATTGCTGGCCACATTTTTACAACAATGCTCAACAAAGAATGCAATGCCAAATTAAATTAAACATTAAAACCAAGTGTGAGAGCACTAAAATACCTGGATTGGCAAGATTTAAATGTATATTTTTGTAAGCTAAAATTGTACATTTTTAACTTACAATTCATTTGTTCAACTTTAAAAGAAACTGGGTCTCTATTATAACTTATATTTGCACAATAAATTGTCTAAAAATTAATGTTCCTTATAAACCAAAAGGCTTCACTGTGTTATTTCAATGCAGGAAATAAAAAAAATCAAACATGGCCTTATGTATTCGGGCTCTGTGTGTATATTTTCATCCTAAGGAGGAACATTAAAAAAAATATATATGCATTTGGAGCCTGAGTATGTGACATGTTTTGATCTGTTTGGCTCTACTCGCCTCACCACAATAAAAACTGGAAATAAATCAATCTTTAACAACATATCGGAGAATGAAAGGCTTGCTTACCTTATACTCAATGTTCCCCTCTTCTGCCTTGAAACAGAAAGAAGCAAAAAGACAGGATCAGTCCGTTAGCCGATTACTGATCTGAAACAGATATAAACTCACAACAAACTATCAACATACCAAGTTGGTGAAACATAACTATCCTCCAAATGTACACCCTTTCCTTTATCGGTGCTACAGAAATGGGATTTTTTTCCCTATCAGATCTTTCTGTAACAAATTAGTGAACATTTTGCTAAATAACGGCACTTTTATACCACACACACACACACGCTATGCCACGCTATGGCATCAACTTGTTTTTAAGAGAATGATAAATTACATAGAGCACATATTACTCACAGTGAATGAGGGTCTTATTTATTAGTTGGACAAATACATTGTTTATAACTCATCTAAAAAAGGAAGCATTTCAAAATCAGACGGTGAAAGATGAATATGCTTTCACTCTCTGTGTGCACTGCGGGTCTCCAGTCCAAGAAAACGTTGAGCTTCCATTTTGCAGTAGAGCAAAAAGCCCAGATCTAAATAAAATGATGTGTACAGTATTCCCTTAGCTGTTATCAAATTCCAAAGAAAAAAAGCTAAAAAGCTACTGACATATTACCATTCATCCATCCATCCATCCATCCATCTATTTTTCTGTGGTGCTTATTCCCAACCGGGTTGCAGACATTATATCTATTCAATTCTATTTTATAGAATATAAATATTTGTATAGATTGTATTTATGCCAAACTAATAACTGGACGCTAGCCAATTAAACAGATCATCTCATGTCCGGGTTCCTGTAATTAATACTTTTATTATTTATAACTCATATATTATATTAGCTAAATGTATGAAAGGCGTTAGGAGAGAAATTTCTCGGTAGGTTGGCTTTATAATTTGTGGTACCACTGACAAAAGGAGTGTGTTTTTTTTGTGTGTTTGATGGTATAGAGGTCGCAGTCGGTTAGCCCTGCGCAGCTAGCTAGCCGGCCGGTGCTTTAGCTAATCCGACCGGTGGGGGATAGCTACCTCCGGGGGTAAAAACGGCGGCGGGGTTTTGTTGTTCCTGCTCTTTTTATTCCGTCTTCTCCTGCCCCGCTTGCCTCTTCTACCTCGCGTCTTTTTCGACGTTTTCTTCGCGTTATTGCCCGAGCCGGAGCCCGGTCCGTATCTACCGCATCCGGGCGACACGGCGGTGCTTTCCAGCAAATCCACCATGGCTGATGTTCAGGGTGTCGGCGCAGGCCGGAAAGGGCACATTTAACTCTACCGAAACAACAATGGCGACTACCACCGTCCTCCTTCTGAATTCATTTCCCTACAACATGCGGCCTGCCCGTGTGGACCCGCTGCGGAAGATGCTCTCTCCTCAGCATCACCGACGCGGTGAAGGCGGACTCACTAACTATCACCCAGCTTCCGGTTGAAACTTTCACAATTATTCACGAGTAGCGAGTTAACCGGAAATGACGCCAGTATTCAAAATAAAAGAAGAAGAAGTTCACGTCTGAATGCAGCAGTTATTTGATGCCTATTTTTATGTTTTTGGATTATGATTCGTATGGTATCACCTTTTTTTTTTTACCTTCAAAGGCTACAGAAGTGACGAGAAAAGTATTGAAACTGGAATACAAAAACAAAAAACAGATTGACACAAAGCAGTCTGGTATTGATTAAGTAATGCATCAAATATATTTTTAATTTTTCTTTACATGGAATATGATTGAGGCTATAGAATTTGTGTTGTGCTACCAAATGCCTAAATGTCGCAGAGATTACCCTTAAACGTCTTCACTAATCAAGTCAAATAAATCCAGTTGCCTTAATCTAAGATCTTAATGGGGCACCTTTCGACCACTTAATGGATAATAACTTAAAGAAAAATACATTACAATACTAAAACACCTTGAAATGTTTCTGGAGATAGCCACTGAAGTCATGATAATTAATGATTGAAAACGATTTTGACTCCAGAGCAGAGCTGAAGGCGGCGCTGCTCACAGAGAACATCAGGCAGAGAAGAAGAAGAATAGCCCCGCCCCTGTCCTCTAACACGTCCTCAGTCTGGAACCAAACTGAGCCCTGGCTACAGCCCCGGTCATACACTCACTGTCTACTCAGCAGCGAATATGAGCGGAAGAGGCAAAGGAGGAAAGGGGCTCGGAAAAGGAGGCGC